ACGTCTAAAAACATAAAAAATCCCATCTGCGCAAAATGGGGGCCCCACAGCGTCCCTTTCTGTATTATTTCACTGTATTACTATATTGTTATAATTGCTACTATATTGCCATATTACCATGTTACTATATTACTCTATTACTAAAAAGGTACTCTCTGTATATGTCGAGACTACTGGGAGTGTCGGCAATGTGAGAAAGAATAGAAAATGTAGCCTCAAGGGGCCACTACGCTCAGCTCATATAGTCTCTGACCCTTTCTTGGAACAGCATACCTTGCCGTAGGCAAAGAAGCATTCCCATCCGTCTGCAGAACCATAGACTCTAACAGTTGGAGAATGTTTTGCAGAGCGCTGACAGTCGCTTCGTTGACAGTTGATTTCTTTGTTCCAACATCTAAGCATGACTGTAATGACTGTAGTAACCACTGAAATTATAATTGTCAATAACAAATATATTGGTAGTGCCAATCTGGTGTCGACCTTTCTCTTTCCATGTCACGGGCAATGCACTCCTCTCAGCGGGCACGTTTGTGCAGTCCACATATGCATGATGCGAGCTTGCCGATTCTCGGAGCAATGTAACTAGCTGGTTAGAATGGTTCCTGCCGAAGGCAAGCACTGTTCAGAGCCAGAATCCCTTCGACCTTGAAGTCAGCACATACCGAATCCTAGGGGGTGGCGGGATGTTGAATATCAGGTGAAAAGGGATTCCACGTGTTTCGAAGACATCTGGAGCTCGCGGACGCTCGACTCAGAAAGTTTTCGCGTTTCCTGCAAGTTTGAGAGAGGTGCAACGGGCACGTAGTGAGTGTTCTTGCTGGCGAAACATCATGCGCCATGTTTTAGAGAAACACCAAGCAATCGGAGCACAGCCCGTTTTCCGGGCCCTGAGAAATTCCAATGATGGATAGCCGATCACTTGGGGTTTGCAACTACGCATGCGCATCCAAGAGCTCTTGTTCAAAAACTTGTTTTCAGGGAGGAATTACGCCCACGTAATGTGTTTGGGGCGGCAAAGCTTGCATGTTGGTGGATTCGATTCTAACCCAAACTGCTAATGTGAAACCCCAAGCGAGAGGTTGAGATATTCTGTCAAAAGTGGTTCGCCTCATGCTTCCTTGGTGGGATTTAGACTGGGCGTCCTCATGTGTCTTTCCTACCGTTGGTAGAGCTGATGTACAGTGCCACACTGTTTTGTCAATTGACAGGAAAATGAAGGCATGTAGCCTGCAGAAGCTAGATCGCAACCACTGTAAACAAACGCAGCGAAGAAACAACAATCAAATAGGACCATAAATCGATTGGGTCTTGATAGGAACCAACAAGTGCATCGATAAGGGGGAACAGCTGCGGTGAGCGTATGCATTACGTGAAGCCCCCAGAGAAAATAGTGGCAGAGTATGATAGGACCATACTGTGATTACCCTTATGCCTTTTGGTCAGTATTAGTGGGTGGGGGCTTACTTAATTAACAGTTTAGGAGGCAGCCAGGCTGAGCTTTTGGATTCTTCAATATGAAGCCTGGGGTTCTCCAGCTGTTGCTGTCAGCTACCTCATAGGTTGTGATTACAATGTTACGAGGGGTAAAGGTCATCATATTGGGGTCCTAACGTACGATATTCCTGTTATAGTTCTCATTGCAGGGGGGGGTGGGGTCTACCTAACTCAGAAGGTTGGGAGTTTGGAATTTGAGTTTTCATACAGGGGAGGGGGGGGGGGTTGGTGGGTTAAAGGTTGATCCTAAGCCCTAAAGCGCAAAGCACCCGGGGACGCGATCCAAGCCCCCGAAAACTTGAGACTACAGGAGGTAACTTGGTCAGTGTGAATGCAGCATGCAGACAGTGGGTGTAGGAGGTTTACATTTAGAGTTAATTCAGGGTTGCAAACATGCTCAAGACGTTGCCGTGCAATGCCTCAGCCCGCCAATGGATGGTTTTAGTCCAGATGCTGATGCAGCTGGCTGTTGTTGTGTCCTGTCTTGTTTTCGCAGGGAGATAATGGAAAAGAAAATGGAAGCTACTATATGATATAGGGGTATAGAAGGGTTATATTACAGTTTTATTGGGATAATGGAATTTAAGTGGAAACTACTTTTTAGCGTTTTTATGGGTTACCCTTGTGTTATGCCAAGGCGGCCGCTGCTGTTGCCAGCTCAAGCCGAAAGGCAAGCACGATCTAGTTAGGGTTTAAGGGTTTAAGGGTTTAGGGTTTAAGGGTTTAGGGTATCTAGTTCAGGCCTTACAAGCCAGAAAGGCCTGGTCAAGGCTTCAGCGCAGGACAGGACATTCAGTAGGAACCAACAGCCCCATAACGCATAGAAGATTACGGAACTACCCAATGTATATAAAGGCCTAAGAAACCAGAGAAGGTTTCCAATATTTACTTACAGCAGGGGCATTGGGGTATGATATTCTATAGTTTAAAAGGCTTGCAATATCTTGTTTACCGAACAGCAAGGGATTCGGGGTATGTTGTGTTACTATAGCTTAAGCGGCTTGAGGTTGAGGGTTATAAGCGAGGAAATTCCTGGTCATTACTCAGGCTGCTACAGAAGGTGGATCCCGCTTTAGGGTTTAGGGAATCTCTCTCTCTCTCTTTCTCTCTCTCTCTCTCTCTCTTTCTCTCTCTCTCTCTCTCTTTCTCTCTCTCTCTCTGCGCGCTCCGAGCTTTTGAGTTCGGGCATGCACCGGGAATGTGAGAGCTTAATTAATTGCAATGGTGTTTTTTGGGGGTAGATTGTACTTAGGGCTTAGGATCTAGGGCTGAACATACTGTAGTTGAATTAAAGGTGTTGTAGGGAGAGAATACTGACAGTTGTTCAGGCTACGGTGTGTGGGGTAGAGGGTTTAGGGTGTCAGTTACCACAATATGGGTATATGGTAGATGATAAGGTTTCCTGCCTATAGCAACGCTGAGATCGTCTTCAGGTAGGTGACGGAAGTGCCATGCCTGTCCTGTCTGGGGGCTGTGGTTCAGCTGCTGGTCTCTTTAGGGTTTAGGGCTTGGGCGTTTAGGGTTTAATTACCCCTGAGCCCTAAATTAGGGCTCAGGGGTCTTAGGGGTTTCGGGCTTAGGGTTAAGGGTTTAAGGTTTAGGGAAAATGTCCATGCAGCATGGGAGATTCCCAACAGTGGGGGCACGTCTTAAGGGAATATAGGGGTTATTATATTGGGAGTTAATCTGGGGTTTCCCAAAATTAGGGGTACTTTTGGAGGGGTCCCCTTAATAAGGGCTTTTGCATTTCGGGGTCTCTAGTGGGGTCCCCCTATTTATGGAAGTCACAAATCCAGCATTTGGGCCGTGGCATAGGGTAGGGGCATTTCCAGGATTCATTTAGTGCTTTCTAGTATGCTGTCACTGATGTAGCTTCAATCGCGTATGCGCCTTCTTCTTGTGCATTTCAAGGTTTCTGTTTTCAGGCTTTAACCTAATCCCACCATTCTTGTGACACAACAAGCGTCGTTCTGCATTTCAGCGTGAAAATACGAAGTTCGGATGGCTCCACCTAGAGATTTTGCGTGAGGGGGCGTGGAGTATGCTCGCAGCTCTGTGGCTGTCGCTTGCTGTTAGTTTGGGGAGGGTGCCCTAAGTCGTGGCTTTGATTTGTGGATCCCTTTCAGCCTTGGAGACTTCCAGACTGTTCTGGGGTTGCAACTAAGGAATTGCGTTACATTGCCCTGATTGAGGGTGGAGGGTTTGGATTTCAGGGTGTTAGGTTACCATAATACGGAGGGACATATTAAAAGACAGCCTTTCCCTGTTATCGCCGTCCTCTGTAAAAGAGACCGCAAAGGCCGGCGAGTGCTGACAAACAATTGCCGACCACCCAAAAGTACCGACCACTCTCGACCATTCCTGAATCCCTCCAAAAGCGACCCACCACCGACCACTACGGACCACGACCAACCATTGCCGAACCTTCCAAAACCTGCTTTTCTAGTGGAAATACTGAAATCGTCCTTTGCCAACTCTTTCAATGGTTTCCAGGCTCAACAGAGCAAATGCTGCCGTAGAATTCCTCTGGAGACCCCCATCACCTGCGAAATGAGTTGTCAGCCACTTTGAGCCTTTTGAAGAGGCCTGAGCTTGAAATAAGAGCACGCCCATAAAATCCCATAGATCCCAGTCGTGCGCCCAAATACATGGTTTTTAGAGGTTTGCCCCTCAAACTTGTCTCAAGCTTTCGCTGGGCTTACTTACCTAAACCCTACACCTTGAACTGCGAGATGAGCTACTGTCAATATTAGGCTTACCAAGGGACCTCCTTAAGATTAAGAGTGGGCCCGGCTCCCTCTTGCAGTTTAGCATGGTCACTAATAAGATCCCTCCTAACAAGAAGCCCATGCCCATTGAAATATGCAGGAAATTGACTGTAGTTGCTACGCGGCTTAGGCGATCTATATCCTCGGAGATAGCCGCAATGCGTCAAAAAAGCGTTGCCTCAGCCTGGCGGTACATCCTGATGTGGCATGGCTTCAGGGTTCAGGCTTGGGGTTTTAGGCTTTAAGCAGGACTTGCTATTGTCAGATGGCGTTGACTCGCCCGTGTCTGAGAGCTGTGGTAGCTTCATGTGAAGGTAAGTCGGCACTACACGCACAGGGAGGAAGTGAGCGAGAGCTAAGGTTGCATCCAGGGTAGGATTAGGGCCAGAAGCAGAGGCCACAGGACGCGTGCAGTCACACGTTTGCATAGGATGGTCGTACACAGGTAGGAAAGGATGCAGCACTACTCACTCACGCAGCAAGGTGCTGAGCTAGCCGCAGGTGAGCAAAGGGCCTGGGCGCCAGAGGCAAGGCACTTCATGCAAAGACATTGCAATGTATCTCAGCAAAAACCGTAGCGATAC